AGGAAAGAGGAAGGGCAGGGGGAGGAAGGAGTAGGAAAGAGGAAGGGCAGGGAGAGGAAGGAGCAGGGAGAGGAAGGGCAAGAAAGAGGAAGGGCAGGAAAGAGGAAGGAGCAGGGAGAGGAAGGGCAGGAAAGAGGAAGGAGCAGGGAGAGGACGGGCAGGAAGGAGGAAGGAGGAAGGGCAGGGAGAGGAAGGGCAGGAAACAGGAAGGGCAGGGGAGAGGAGGGCAGGGGGGAGGGCCTGGGGGAGGAGGGGCAGGAAAGAGGAAGGGCAGGGGGAGGAAGGAGTAGGGAAGAGGAAGGGCAGGGAGAGGAAGGAGCAGGGAGAGGAAGGGCAAGAAAGAGGAAGGGCAGGAAAGAGGAAGGGCAGGGGAGAGGAGGGCAGGGGGGAGGGCCCAGGGGAGGAGGGGCAGGAAAGAGGAAGGGCAGGGGGAGGAAGGGCAGGGGAGAGGAGGGCAGGGGGGAGGGCCGCAGGAAAGAGGAAGGGCAAAGAGGAAGGGCAGGGGGAGGAAGGAGGCGGGGGGAGGAGGGGCGCGGGGGGGAGGAAGGGCAGGGAGCATTAGCAGCCGCTGGCCGCCCCACTTCCCCACGTCTCGTGCTGCCCTCCGCTGCCAGTCTTGCTTGTTGGCACCGAAGGGTCCCGTGCGTGCTGCCCCTCAGAATCACAAACCAGCGTCGTGCACAGCGGTGGAAAGAACAGACCTGGAATTAAAATCGGGCTCTGCACCTCAAGCGAGTCGCAGCCCGAGTCTGATCCACAAGACGGGTCGTGACCGGCCCTGCGGGGCTTGCACATGACCCAGTGCAGCTCCAGAACCAGCCCTGTCCCCCGCCCCCAGAAGACGCGGCCTTCCTCAGTTGGGGTGTCGTCTGTAAGAGGGAGCGGAGGGGAGAGGAGCGTCGCTCGCGTCGTCTTCGTCCTTGCCTCCCACTCATGGGTGACTCCTTTACAGACTCACACCCGGACTCCACACTTGCTTCTTTCCCTTGCACAAACTCCACACTTGCTTTCCCTTTCTTCTGATTGGCCATCCTCCAAGAGGGGTGCATTCCTGTGGGACAGCCACAACACCAAGTCCCAAGTTTCTTGCTAATGTTTACTCTCAATCAGTCTGGGAAAAAAAAATTTTTAATGGAAAACCAGGAAAAGGACAGAGGACTCCCTAGTAAATTTAAATTAAGGCGTATTTGTGGAGAGGAGGCTAAATCATTCAAGCTTTTCCCAACTGTCAAGTTTACTTTCCACTGTGTAGATTTTAGTCGTAGACCGTGAGTCAGCTAGGAATGGCACTAAGGCAAAACAAAATAGGCGCAAACCCGTGGTGATCCCTTCCACAATGGTGACTGACACGATGTTCTCATTGTGCAGAAAGGGGTGGAGTAAAGGAGTGATCTCCCCTGGCTGGGTGTTCCAGCTTGTAAACTAAGGGACAACTACAACGAAGGGAACGACCTGTTCTCTGCCCCGGGGGTGGCTGACAGTCTACGGAGGGAGGGATTCATGAGCAGCTCAGCCAGTGGAGCCAGGCGGAAGTTCAAAAGGTGTGCAACTGCCAAGACTGGGGGAGGCCAGCCTGCCTACTCCAGTACCTTCAGATGGAAACTAAATCATTTGAGACTCACTGAAAACCTCCAGAATTGCTTAAAACCATATCTAATAATCCTTATTTTGATATGTAAATGCTATCTTTTAAAGCATTCGTTCATAGTCTGTGAATACTCACAATGCCAAGCCTAACTAATGCAGTCATCTGTCCAGAATTCAGAAGAATTAACACCCTACAGCTTCACCCGGCACAGACCAAGCATGTGGGGATTGGGACGAATCATATACTTTTAAAATACACTTTGCTTTTGAAAACTTGTTTAAAGTTTCACCTTCCAGCTTTGGGAATTAGGTGTAACTAGCCATATTTATTGTTTACTTTCTGACAAGGACTGTTTTCGAAGTCACACATTAACTACCTTCATAACAACTATGAGATTAGGTACAAATATCTCTGGCAAACAAGCCAACTGAGGGACAGGAAGGCTAAGTAATTTGGCCAAGGTCACACAGCAAGTAACTGCTGGAGGGCAAAGCACGAATAGGACAACATACACAGGGAAGAGCAAGCAGGTCCGGGGGCAAGAACTAGACATTTTTTAGGACACACATTTTGTTGCAGTCATACACACACACGAAATCATGATTACGCATCCATGTTCTTTTTCTAACTCCAAAGAGGCATTATTTTAACTGTTTTCTAAAAACTACCCAACTTACTTGGGGAGTTTTATTCATGAAAACTATTCCCATTAGAAGAGATGTTACCAATATGAAACGCAGGAGGAGGTATATTGACAAGAGATTCTCACATACTGAGGTATATGGGGTAACTATTCAGGTTCAAAACTGATTCAGCTTGAACTAAAAAGCCTGACTTATGGCCTGTCAAACATACATTGTGCATCTGCTTAACCATTAAAGAATGCACTCTCTTAAGAATGCAAGCTTCCCCTCCTACGCCCTATTGGTAACGCCCAACACCCTATTGGTGACGCCCAGATTAGGCCCTCTCCTGACATCACGTCACGTTGGCCTGCTAATTTGCAACTGAATACCTTTTGAAATTATGATGAAAATGTATTCTGGGTGTGTTAATGTATGTTCTTTGTTCTAAAAAGATAAAAGACTCTACTGAAAACCGTGCTACTCCAGAATGCTTTCTATGGCCTTCCCAGGTTATTATAATCCTCACTCTGGCCCACCCTACTTCTCTTATCTCCAGAATGGTTATTGGTTATTTTGCATCGACAATGTAGTCCTTTGCTAGTTTTCTGTCCTTTCACACAGGAGTTCTCATGGTGAGTGTGCTAGAACCACAAGCTGCTGGGAGACGGAGTTTGGATTCTGATTCCTCCAGCTGAGCCTTTAACAACATCCAGATGAGACACTTCCAGACCCAGTGCTGCAGCAGGGGGAATGTGTGTGTGTGAGGAACTCCACACACAACTGAAACTAAGGCCCCAGGAGCCGTGATTAAAGGACTAACCCCTCTTTACACAGGCATCTCCAGTCAGGTCTTCACCGATACTTCAGATAGTTCATATGAAGCATTTTGTGTAATCAAAAGTACTTAAAATGCACTCAAAATTAAAATAGGATATTTTATTAACATTAATCAGAGCAATCCCACCCATTAAGGTATTAACAAAGTCAACCTAGAATGGAGTATAGAATCTAATATTCCAACAGACAGAATTTAAGCCAGATTCCAATCCTAGCTTAGTCACTTGCTGGTATGACAATGGACCAATTAATCTATCAAATCATTGGTTTCCTTATCTGTAAGATGAGAATGAGAAATGGTTACATGTAAAGAGACTGTTTTAAGGATCAAATGATATTTTTTGTGTGTGTGTATACAATGGAACTTTTACTATAAATAGTAATAGACAAATTTATTTCAAAAAATACAAAGTATATATGACAAAACTAATACCTGTTATTTCTGGGTGGTGGGTACATGTATGTTTACAGTTTTCCATATTTAAATTTTTCAAAATAGAGAAATAAAAAATATGGATCTTATCTACTTTTAATACAGAATCACACATGTAAAGGGACTCACTTTATGCAGAGAACCTTTATCAGATGGACCACATGCTTCCACAAAATCTTTGGAACAATGGTTTATAGCAGAAAGCAGAATGTAGACATAAGAATCACAGGTCAGAGATGAAAGAGACCTCTCAAATCTAATCTAAACCTCTTATTTTTCAGACTAGAAAACTACCTGAGTGTCTTGTCAAAGTTACATACAACTAGTTAATGCCAACCCCAACAGAAACACTCTGATCCTGGCTCCTGAAGTGGCCTTTAGTGTAAGTACCACATTCGAAAAATGATTTTATTTCAAAGTCCAATTTTATGGCACAATTTTACAACACAAACTCGTGCTATTTGATGTTTGCATCCACTGAATTGTTTTGTTTTGTCAGAAGACTGGCAAGCTTGCCTTCGTAAACTAAGTACACTGACTTCTAAGAACAAAGAGTTTATATGTTAACACACATAAAAGTCAGTCAAGGGCCAGCCCAGTGGCATAGTGGTTAAGTTCTCGCGCTTGGCTTCAGCGGCCTGAGGTCCACGGGTTCGGATCCTGGGCTCGGACTCTGAGGTCCACGGGTTCGGATCCTGGGCTCGGACTCACGCACCACTCATCAAACCACGCTGTGGTGACGTCCCACATACAAAATAGAGGAGGATGGGCACAGATGTTAACTCAGTGACAATCTTCCTCACACACACACACACAAAAATCAGTTAAGTTGCGCAAGAGTCCTTACCATTTGGTGTGAATTCAAAAGGTATGAAAAGCATAAACTATTCATTATCTTTTGTAGTGTGTATAGCACATGGAAATTAAGAATTTCTTCAATTTGAAAAAATGAATCAATGTTATAATGGAAACATTTGAAAAATGTTCCAAATGTATCTTTGGAAAATGATTCAGACTTGTATATAAAAACTATATACATAAATGCTGAATTGCATAACAGTGATTAATTTAAAGAGTGTTCTTCAAAAATTTTCAGATAAAGAGCTCTAAACTGGGGGATAATCACATCAACTTGGCTACCAGCCACATGCCCGATGTTATCAGCTAATTTTACTTAACTAATGAAAATCTGAATTAAAAAAAAAGTGCTGAGACTGAAGGGCACCATTTGAAGTACTTTGGTGTTTCGTGGTATTTCGTTCCATTTCCAGACCCATCGGCCTTCTTATAGCCAAAGGGCCGGGACTCTGGCAGCCAGCACAGCACCCAGGATGGTTGAGAACAGCAGCAGACACAACTGCTGAGTGTAGTTTCCACAGCTTACTATGAACAGCACTAATGACGTCAAACAGGTATATTATAGGAAGAAAAAACCAGGTTTAATGCCATATAAAATATGTACAGAACTTGAACATTCTTGTGAGATATAGTTCAAGTCACAGTTGAATTATAAATGTAATCAGATACTCTCATACAATGAAAAAGCCTAGTTGGTTAAGAAAAAAATGCACGTAAACCATAAAAGATGAGAAAGTATTTAAAAATACACAAAATTCTAACAGTAGGTTTAAATTTTGATTTAAAAAGTAAATATGTATTTACAATCTTTAAATTTCACAATTTGTTACTTTTACATGATCTTTTCCCAGGATAACACAAAACAACAAAAAGCTCTTTTAACCATTTATACACAGAAAAAAATCAATAGGGAGGTTGATAGAATACAGTGTTGTAGTAGCTAAAATACAGAAGGCCAGGGTCTTATGAGTGGGGTCACGGAACAGACTTGACCCAAACTGGCATGCTGGCCGACCAGCAGTTTCAGTTCAGAAACTTCACTGCAGGGCTGTCTCCTTATCTAACAGGAATGATTATAAATACCAGTTATCAGAAAGGAGGAGGCAGGGGGATTAAATGAGATCATCCATGAGAACTAAGGAGCACTAGGGATGAAGACGTGACCACCCAGGGCATGAATTTCACAGCACAGTTCACTCCAGGACCTTCCTCAAAGGGTTAAAAACCTCCAACAACAGTTAGCTCTTAATACAAGAACCAGTGTTTACAGCATAAAATCCTTAATTGGAGTGTTCAGCCCAGGTGGTTATCAAAAGCTATTTACAAATGCTTCAATACTGATGATATTAAAGCTACCAAACTCTAATGATCCAAAGGTCTGGCCTCCTGGTCACAGTACAGAGTCACCTGCCTCTGACAGCACTGCAGATGCCTGCTGAGTCTCAGTCTTGCACAGTGTGGCATCTCCTCCTAGGTCTTCCGTCTGTCATAATCCCCAACCATCTTCTTGATGTGTGACAATTTGCTCTTCAACTGCTTGCAGTAATTCCTCTTACTTGTGTAATCTGCAGACTAGAAAGGAAAAGAAATGAACCAGGTAAATTTAACAAAATAAAACCAGTTATGTGTTAGCTGCTGGGAAGGCAGAGGTGAACAGAAAAAGGGGAATATTAGTCAAACGGAATTGTTGGGGGTGTTATGTGGAGTAAAACAGGTGGCAGGATCTCTAACCACATGGGCAGCTGATTCACTTTGCTCAATCAGATCTTCTAACGTGGGTTTTACAAAGGATACATTCACTGCTAATGATTTGTAAAGTCACCAAGAAAACGTATTGGCCTTTCTGCAAATACATCATCTAAAAAAAATCAGTAAAACAAGAAACTGGTGATATGTGTTGACCTGGGAAAGGGAACTGGGTGAATGGGGACGGGACAGGAAATGTTACTATACGTCCTTTTAAACTCTTGCTTTTAAAATCATGATGTTTTGCAATTTAAAACAATTCAATATAAAATCTTTTAAAAACAAAAAGTGTTTTAAGTCCATAAAGACTGATGATGCCAGGGGCCCGCCCTATGGCGTAGCGGTTCAGTGAGCGCTCCACTGCTGGTGGCCCAGGTTTGGATCCCGGGCGCACACCGAGGCACCTCTTGGCAGGCTATGCTGTGGTGGCATCACACATAAAGTGGAGGAAGATGGGCACAGATGTTAGCCCAGGGCCAGTCTTCCTCAGCAAAAAGAGGAGGATTGGCATGGATGTTAGCTCAGAGCTGATCTTCCTCACACACACAAAAAAAGACTGATGATGCCAAGTATTGGCAAGGACAAGGAGCAACAAGAACCTACACTGCCTGGTGGGAAGCAAACCACAAACCAGGAAAGCTGTCTGAGGGCACCAACCCAAGGCTGGATGCACATGTGCCTGGTGACCCTGCAACTTCACTCCTAAGTGTAAACCTAACAGACATGTGCACGGGCGCACAGACACCCACAAACATGAACCACAGCTACACGTCAAGACACGAACGGATCTCACAAACATAATACTAAGCAAAGAAACCACACTCTAAACACACTCTGCAGGACTCCATTGATATCAAGTTCAGAGGAGGCACAACTACTCGATGATGTCAGAACCAAGGACGTCAGAACTCAGGCACCTCTGGGTGAGTGTGAAAATGGAACGGAGTGCAAGGGCAACCAGGACACGGCCTCTCGGTCTGCGTGCCCGCAAAGGTGTGTGGCTACTCTGTGGACGTTTACCAAGCTGTACACTTAGGATCTGTCCACTTTTCTGTATCTACGTTTCAACTTAGGAAAAAAAAGGAAAAAAAAAATCAGTATTGGTTGTAGCTGCAAACAACTGAAATGAAGGTTCCAACTTCTCAGTTACAGTTCTCATCTTGCAGTTTAGGGCCTTCTGTCTATAATCAGCACATGTGTGACAAGGTGTTCGTAGTCATTCTAAAGTGTAAACGAAAAACATGTAACTAGAAAAGTTCCTCCTAAAAGAGTCTTACAGTCCAAATACTTACTCCTTTTACTTGCTTCAGTCTGTTGTATTCATCAGCAGCAGCCTGTTAATGAGAACAAAGGAATATGTTTAGTGGAGCATTTTCTCTTTCAAAAATAACATTCCTGATGTTATATTTTGGAGCTAAAAATGCCAGCTTATGACAAAAATACAAGGAATTAAAAAAAAGAAGTCTTATTTATTTATTTTTTTTGTGAGGAAGATCAGCCCTGAGCTAACATCCGATGCCAATCCTCCTCTTTTTTTGCTGAGGAAGATTGGCCCTGGGCTAACATTCGTGCCCATCTTCCTCTACTTTATATGGGACGCCGCCACAGCATGGCTTGACAAGTGGTGCCTGCCCGGGATTCGAACCTGCGAATCCCGGGCCGCCGAAGTGGAACATGTGCACTTAACTGCTGCACCACGAGGCCGGCCCCCCAAAAAAAGAAGTCTTAAAGCTCTTAACACTGCTATGGTCAGCAGGAGGGCCTGAAGGAATCCAGTAAAAAGACACTGATGGCGTTAAGACGTTTCTCACATTCTATTCACACAGGCCTGTACCTGCTGTTCTGCTCTCCCCGGGCCAGCTCACGTGCCTGCTCACACCACAGAAGTCTTGTCAAGCACAGCCCTGACCAGGTTGTGTCATTAGAAAACCGGTCTGAGCTCCCCATTAACTTCTCTACTAATCTAGTCTCCTACCCTTGCCAGTCTCAGTGCCCGTCATTTGCAATCCTTTAAGAAACGAAGCATGCTGATGCTTCCGGGTTTCTACCACGTTCTCCTTATGGAGAACTCGTGCATCCATCCCCCTCCTGTCTGGAGAATTCATAGTGGTCACCTCGTGATCTCCCAGTGGAGCCTGCCCTACACTCTCCAGGCCCTCAGCGGACTTCATTCCTTTGGGGGACAAGTTCAAGGACACAAGAACGATCAATAAAATGCAGATCACCTCAATTAAAAATGGCAAAAGGTATTTAATAAAATGAATATGAAGTGATGAAAAAAGTTTCATTACTAATATCTAAGACACAAGGCAGTAATTTTTCAGGCACAAAATGTTAGTGAGATGTGGGTCAAACGAGCCCTCCAGAGCATGACCAGCAGGAATGCAGTTGGCATAATCTTTCCAGAGGGCAGCTTTGCAACAAAAGTTTAAATGTACATAACGTCTGACTCAGATAGTTCACATTCTGGAATTTGTTCTGGCAAGATAAGCAGACAGGGCACAAAGATGGAGAGGTTCACAGTGTGTTACTGGGGGAGGTGTGTGTGGCGGAGAGACATACCTCAGAGTCACCCTCTATGAAAGGAACTTGAAGTAAATTACGGTGCAACCATAGAAATGAAAATTCTGTAGCTATTTTTTAACACATAAAAATATTTTTTCAGTGAGTAGATCTTTGTTATTGACATGAATCGAAACCATAAACTACTGTTGAGTAAAAAAGCAGGATATAAGAAGTACCAGAAAGTACTGAAAAAGAAACTCCCCCACAATGATGGGGGTCGACACAGGAGGCAACTGAAGCAGTTCCCAATGGTCAACACTGTGACAATTCGAGCAACAAAATAAAGCAGCCTCAGATTATAACCCACAATATAAAACAGATACCCATGAATCCATACTGACGTCCAAGATTGACTAAATAAATAAATACACGGCAGGAAGTGACAGGTTTCCCATGCAGAAGAATTCCAAACCATCTGTGCAGGTCCACTGCCTTTAAAGAGCTGGAGCATAACTCCCCACCCCTAAGTGTCATCCGTGCATCCTGACCTCCTTCCAAAGAGTGCAGCATGGAAAGAGGAGTTAAACGTAAGAGAGCAGGGGCTGGCCTGGTGGCATAGTGGTTAAGCTCACGCACTCTGCTTCAGTGGCCCGGGGATCACAGTTTCAGATCCCGGGTGTGGACCTACATACTGCTCATCAAGCCATGCTGTGGTGGCGTCCCATATAAAGTAGAGGAAGAGGGGCACAGATGCTAGCCCAGGGCTAATCTTCCTCACCAAAAAAATAAATAATAAAATAAAATAAAAGAGTAACTTTACCTGGACAAACACTACCTCAGCAGATGATGAAGGAAAAAAAAACCATAAACTACTACTGAATAAAAAAGCAGGAAGGATAAAAGTAAAACATATGATTCCGTGTGGAAGACTCAGTATGTCCAGGTGCACACCTACATGGAGGCGACAGCTTAACAACTAATATTTTGGTGACAACCGAGTGGTAGAATTTAAGGAAATTTACTTTTCTGTATGCAATTCTGTACTGTTTGAATTTTTTTTTTTTTTTTGTGAGGAAGATCGGCCCTGAGCTAACATCTGCCCATCCTCCTCTTTTTGCTGAGGAAGACCGGCCCTGGGCTAACATCCATGCCCATCTTCCTCCACTTTATATGGGACGCCGCCACAGCATGGCTCGACAAGCGGTGCGTCGGTGCGTGCCCAGGATCTGAACCGGCGAACTCTGGGCTGCCACAGCGGAGCGCGCGCACTTAACTGCTCGCGCCACCGGGCTGGCCCCTGTTTGAATTTTTTACAGAAAGAATGAACTGTGTTTATAAATAGAACAAGTAATATAACTATTTTCTTTTAAATAGGAAGGGACGTATGTACATAGACTATTGCTTTGTAATTGTTAATTACATTAGTACACTCTTCAGTTTGGAAAGATGTTCATCCAAGACTCGATTTCAATTATTCTTCAACGAAATTAAGTCTGATAATTACCAGCAAATTTGTACCAACATTAGTATAAAGGATACTGTATCTCCAATGAGTAGAATTACACGTAACCTATAATCATCAGGTTTGAACTTACCATGTACTCGGTGCTTTCTTCTCTATAGTCATCCAGTTCTTTATCCAGACGAGAGAGCTCTCTGTTGATCTCGTCGAGTTCTGCTTGTAAGCTCTTGTACTCCTGCAGGCAAGTGTCAAAACTTCTCTTGTAGAGTTGTCTTTGTTGATCTGAAGTGATAGGTGGATATTCCCTAAAAATTGAGCAGAAAATGACTACTTATATATCCCTAGCAGACATAAAATCCAGTGTTTCTTCCTCAAAGATAACAAAGCTGGTGGGAAGTGAAAATGACATTCTCCTGTCTTCTTTCTGTTGCTTATGGGCACAGGTAGGTGCGGTGCAAACAAATTCTCTTAAGAACGATTACATTTAATACATCACTGCTCATGTTTTTAAAAAAACTATGCCTCCATAATTTTTAGAAATAAAGTTGAAAATCATTTATGAAACTTAACGTTCAAGTCATAGGAACTCGTTTACTCTGAATATACAACACCACATGGTAATGGAATACTTATGTTTAAAGTCTTAAAACTGGAATTCTGGACACAAAGCGTGTTTTCGTCACTGCAGTGGCAGAGCAGCTGAGTGGCGGCCGGCTTTTCTGCTACCACCTACAGTTTTCAGACTGTTTGGGGTATTTGTTTTTGGTCTTTGTCTTGTTTTTTCTAAATGGACATAGCTATTTTCACTCCTTTGATTATAATGGTAGATATTAAAATGCATGTGTATAAAAATGCATGCTCATTGTAAAAATAATCTGGCAATGCATTAAACTATGAAGAACCCCTGAAATTCTAACTTGTATCTCTCAATATACCAGCTTATTCTTTACATATGAGGGTGATGCTATTAAGCCATAATCCTCCGAGGAAATACTCTGAATTGTTTCACAGGACTAAGGAACTTCACAGCAATATGGAATTCCAAATTTTATTTTATTTTTTTATTTTTTTAAAAATTTTATTTATTTATTTTTTCCCCCAAAGCCCCAGTAGATAGTTGTACATCATAGTTGCACATCCTTCCAGTTGCTGTATGTGGGACGCGGCCTCAGCATGGCCAGAGAAACGGTGCGTCGGTGCACGCCCAGGATCTGAACCCGGGCCGCCAGCAGCGGATGGTGCGCACTTAACCGCTAAGCCACAGGGCCGGCCCCGGAATTCCAAATTTTAAATCTAAGTCAGACTAATACCTTCATTTTACTGAGGGGAAAAAAATTAAGTGATTTGCTCAAAAGGGAAACGAGAACTCAGGATTCCTAAAAGTTTTCATTTAAATGTTCCATGATACAAGTTAGGCAAATATTTTACAGATAGATGGCTGAACTAGAAAAAACTCTTCGGGGAGAAGGGGAAGATGAGGGGAACCACCAGCGAGTAGGGACTTCAAGATACAAGTGTCGCACCCCCTCCCACCTTCTTGACAAGCAATGTTCTGATGAACCCCCATTCACACTGCAAATGTCTGAGCTGTGTCCTGGCCCTCAGAAGACGTGTGCAGAGGAGGCCGAACATCAAACACGAGTACGGTGATGGCCATGGAGCCACAGAACCACCACCGGGGCCAGAACATGGACTGTTAACTTGGTTGTTTACAACACCATTTGCCAAAGTCTTTTGTATTAAACTTTAAAAAGAATCTCGGGTCTCATCGTGAAAGCTTAATGTTCAAGTAAATGCCCAAGGAAAGCCACAGCCCTGCTCTGGGGATTTTATCATCAGTGAACAAAGCTCCTCTACACTTGCATCTTCGACTGCTGGTAAAGTAAGAGCTCTGGTGAGGTTTATCAGCCATTTTGGGGACAGTGGATATGTTTTTAAGACGTGGTTACAGCCAAACATATCCCTTCACGTCACCCTTTATTACGAAAGCACACTAAGGAAAAAACTAACAGAAACTGTCTCCAGTCCTGGTTGGCAAAGAATGAAGCCACCCCCCCAGCTCAGGAGCAACCCCCCCGCCTGGCTGGCCACCCTGATCATCAGGCGCGGGGTCCCGGCAGGCGGGGCAGGACTACCTGACCCAGTCCTCCTCCAGCTCGTCGCATGACTCGCCGCCCGTTGTGTAGTCCGTTTCGTAGTGGTCCTGCTCTGGCCTCTTTGGCCGCCCGGCTCTGCCCTTCGTGGGCGCCCTCTTGGAGGGAGTTTCGAAGTTACCGCTGCTGCTGTAACGAGGCTGCCTGACGTCGTCCACAGCTGAAGTCACCGGAAGCTCCTGAACCACTTCGGGCACCCTAATAAAACAGAGACCATCTGTCAGTGACCACTGGGGACACTACAGCCCGGGGCCAGAGCTACGTAAGCACGGGGACACCCACGCAGAGGGGCAGTCACCGAGCAGGTCACAGGCTCGACCCAGAGCAGATCTGGTTTCCCGAGTTCAGTTCAGCACCAGCTCAGAGCCTCTGACACAGTAAGGGTGATACTGGCCCTGATATCAGTTCCCCTCCATTAAACCCAGCATATATGGGGTTAAAACCAAAGGCACTCGTCCTCTTTCCCTGCTTCTCTAAGTTACATTCATGTGTAGATATTAGTGTTTTTTGTATCCCTGAACTTCACTGGGCAGATAGAAGTTACTAATTGTTAAAAGCCTAGGTGGCCTCAAGCTGGGCTCACACTGATGTTTTGGCTAACTACCAGTTCTTGAGGTTTGTTACAGGGAAACTGATATCAAGAAACTAAAGCTTCTCAGACCTCAACTCCGTGGCTTCCTGGATCCACCATCCACCACAGAGACAAAGACAGCTGAAGGACACCCACCTGCATTCCCTTATCTGCCATCTGCCAGCAGCCTCACAAGGCCAAAGGCAGGCTGGTGGGAAAGCGCCGACCAGCAAGGCCACAGGCTCCCCTTCTCTACCAGCAGCCACATTCCTCCTCACAACTTTTAAAACCCCTTTGCCTCCCAACTTTCGGGGAGACGGGACAAATTCGAGAGCTGTCGTCTCCTGGCTGATGTCACCCAAAATAAAAACTCTTTCCTTGCCATAAGCCTGGCGTTCTAATTTTATTTGGCCCCTCTTGTGTGGCGGGTAAAGAACCTGGGTATGTATCCGGTAACAAGGGGAGTCCACGTGTGAGCCTTCCAAGTAACAAGGACCTAACATCTCACTGTCGGAAGTGCTGGCTGATCTGAAAGAGGTGTTACCGGCCCTGTGCCAGGGACTTTCTCCACAGGGTGTCAGGACACAAGGACCACAAGTCTTTCCCACAGGTTCTTCCAGTCCCGTGGAATGCTGAGCGGTGAGGAGGAATGCACACACATACCTACCTTTGGAAGCTGACCCGCACAGATAAGCTCTCTGTAATACTAAATTTAGACTCCTACATAGCAATTCTCTTTTCTTTTCAAGATTCTCTTGATTCTTTCTTTTCTTGCAAAACTAAAAAAACAAAAAATTTAAACTAAAAACATAAAATGCAAAAAACTAAAAAGCTTTATATTGTAATAGACTAAAGAGCACACTAAGACTTCTTTTCAAAATTGCTATGTTAATCCTGAAGCCACATAGAATGAATGGAAGGGAAAATCATTACACTTATTTTTCTAATGCAATTATTGAATATTGCATCCTATTTCTAATTGCATACAATGTTCCTGCCACAAGCATGAAAACAAAGCCTAACACGAAATAAAATACCGAGCTGTGTCGATTGTTAACTACTCTGAGTAACAGGAATGCAAAGCTTAACCATCCCCAGTAGCAGAGCTGGAGAAGGACGAGAAACGACAGGAAAGAAGATGAAGAAATCGCTGAGACGTCCCAACACAGCCTATATTCAAATCAACTATTAAAATGCCTGAAGATTTTTTTCTTATTGCTTTCAACCTATAGAAACCGTCATCTTGAGCTTTCTCTGTTTACTCTGTTTCCTAGGTGATCCAGAACTGCTTGATTCTAACTGCTGTCCAAGTCTTAGATTTTAATCACACTTATTAATGTCCTGTAGACTCCTTAAGCTTCAGGAGGTGTGTGTAGTTCGGGGGGGTATTTATTTCTTCTTTCTAAATTTATTCAGGTCAACGTGGCTTTGTGTGCTGTTAATGTTACTTCTAAAAAAGGGAGAACGTGACTTTCTCAGTGAGTCAATGATTAGCAAGTTCCTAGACACTCTGCCAAAACCACCAGGTACTATGCTTCTCGCCCTGAAGTGGCAAACCAACCTTCAGAATGCAGTGGGTTTATCTGAGGGGGTGGGGGCCAGAAGGGAGGAAGCTGAAGGGCAAAAGAATTCAGGAAAAAACCAAAACCCACTAAAGCTGGCCTCCTCCCATCCTTGTATCTTAGATACTGATACCAGAAATCTTTACCTTGGAAGGTTTCCACCTCCCGTCTTCCTACACCTTTCAGACACTGAAAGATACAGCATGGAAGCTAAAACCAACATGCTTGGCAAGGACAGCATGCAAATGTAAGAGTTTGGGAAAACGTGTGCTCTCAATCATCTTCAAACCCACTTTTAGGTACAAGTCCTATTAGGTCAAAATCTGCCCAACCCACAAGAGGTAACCAGCATCTACTCTCCTCAGGCTCCAGCTCTGGCTCCCAGGGCCGGAAGTCACCCTTTTGTAGCTTTTGAGTTCCTTCTGTTTTATTCATTGGTCTTATCCTGTCTCACCCTGATTCTGAGTGCAGTAACTGTGCACTTGCTTCCATCTCCGTTAGACTGCATCCTCCATGAGAACATGGACGTGGTATCCCAGGGCACCTGGCCCAGTGCTGTGACCACAGCAGGTGTTCCAGGTAATTCCTGAACTGAAAACACATTCACGGGAATCCTCTTTTCTGACGACACCCAGTATTGGTGAGGGAAGAGAAATAATGCATGATCAACATCAGCGTCTGACTCTCAGACTGATGGCCATTATGCACATGGTTTCAGAACTGCCACCATTATTGTGGGGAACAGCCAAGCCTTGCCAACCAGAGAACTCCATCTTCCTGGCCTTGGGGATGACAATGACCCAAAAAGGGCCAATCAGAATCTTTCCAATAGATTTGATACGTAAGCTTTGAGAAAGGAAATTCCACTTTCTGAATCCTGGGCTGGAATATCAGTGCAGCATGGGGAATGTGGATAACCATCCTGCTACAGCAGAAGCTATACTGAGAATAAAGCCAACACAACAACAAGAGCTCTGATATCATCTGAGTCCCTGGATCATGCCATGCCTGAAGTCAGACCACTCCTGGGCCAGTGAATTCCTACAACTTGTGTAAAAGCCCTAACAGATTATCTTACGGCCTATTTACTGGAACCAAACAATGGTCTCATTTGGCACTCTAAGGTGTCAGCCAACATTCAGTTTCCTTGATTTATAAAGGTTAATTCACCCTGGGTGGGGACGGGATAGCACAGAGTGTGCCTAACAGGGCTTCCCAAATTCACTTAGGGTGGAGAAGCAACCATTTTTAGCTCAGTTCTGGTGTCTCCTACTCCAGGATTAATTCTAACTGCCTTGAAATTCTAAGGCGTAGGACACTACGACGAGTAGAAGGAGCCAGACATGAGAGCAACTACCACACGACTCCATCTTACAGGAACTCTGGCAGCAAGCTAGACCAACAGAGGCCGACAGGCATCAACATTGTGGGGGGGGCGGGGTGGGGACCCATGGAGAAAGGGCACAAGAGGACCTTTTGGGCTGCCTGAAATGTCTCTCGGTGTGGTGGTGGGGACTCAGCGTTTACAGGTGTGAAAACTCATCGAGCTGTATACTCAAGACTAGTGCTCTTTACTGAATGTATGTCATGCTTCGGGGGAAAAAATCCTTGTACTGAGGTACCTCCTCCTCAAGGCGGCCCTCAGACCACACTCTCCTCCTAATTCCTCTCTATCCACTACAGTAACCAGGAGGAGAGGTGCTCGTGGGCCAGCAGGCTCCTGGAGGAAGGCCAGGCTACGATTAATGGGCATCGTGCCCAGTCCAGCTGGGTGTACCCTGAACCCCCACGGCACTCAGTCGTCTGCTGTGCACAACATGTGACAACTTCTACTACTCCCCAGAGGCCACACGTCCCTTCTACCCCTACCGAACACATTAGGTGCCATGGGAGATACTGTCACATTCGTACCCCTCAGCACCACCCCATTCTCTCCTTCTTCTGGGTTCTAAAACTGAGCATCACACTTGCATTTTCCACACCTTCTAAAGTTCTGGGGTGCAGGCTGGGAGTATAAACTGGTACAATGCTTGTGGAAGACAGTTTGACCACATCTATCAAAATGAAACATGCAATTTCCTTGAGCCCAGCAATGCTGCTTTTAATATTTTCCCTCCAGATACATTCACAAATGTGCAAAGCGATAAATGTGCAAATTTATTCCCTGTGGTGGTTTGTCATAATAAAAGATTGGGGAAAAGTGTGCACCAATCTGGGACTAATGAAATTATTACAGTATACCCACTGGATGGAATATTACGCAGCCATAAAACAGATCAGTAGACTCTGTATACTAATGTGGACAATCTCCAAGATACACCGCTAACTATGCATTTAATAGGCTAGTATTTCTTGAAAGGAAAAAAATAACCAGTATACATATTTGGCCAGCATATTTACTTATAAATAACCTCTGGAAGGATAGAAGAGAAATTGTTAACACTAGCTGCCTCTAGGAAGAGGAATTAGGAAGCTGGGGACCAACGGTATCCTTCTGTCCTTTTTAAATTTTACATTAGCAATATACTGGCTTATTCAAGAATAAGTAAGATTTTTAAATTGTCCCAAATCAATCTGTGAAAATACCTTGGTTTTCGTGAAAAGGGACAGCACGTGGGAAGGCTGTGTGAGCATGCAGGACTTACGATTAATTCAGAGGTGCAGCTGGTCACGAGATGCGGTACAGACACTTACCTTGTATGCGTGAGTCGTGCAAATCATAGCCTGAATGTTCACAAGGACTGCATCTCTACTGTGCACCTTTGCCCCTAAAAGCCTCATGCACTTTGGTTTTTATCAAAATCCACAGAGAAGAACAACAGAGAAAATGCTGTTCCTCCAAATCATTCACCACTGAAATGACACAAGGTCGCTTCTGAAGACCAAAACAAGTCTGTCTCCAAGCTCCACTCAGGGTAATAACAAAACCTGTTGTCCCCAAACCGATTCCATAATACACTCCCCTGCTGGTGTCATCCTATGGGCTCCAGGCGCCCAAACTCCAGTGCACTCAGAGGGGATCTCTGGATAAAACTGGGCCCATGAAACGGGGGCGGGGGTGGAGACAGAACTTTGAAGCAACCAGAAGTTTTTCAGTAGATACACCTTTAACTCTGAACCATCAACTAGCTAAAGGGAAGCTTTATTTTTTTGGTCTACAAAGGAATTTGGAGTTCTAGAATTATATATAAGAACACTAATTTATCATTCTTAGGCAAAAATTACATCCAATCCTTAACAATCTCTCCAGCATCCTTCTCTCACTAGTCATCAGGTTGAATTAGAATCTGCTTTAGGTTAAACTAAAACCTCAATGGGGATACCATTTCAATAACCATAATGGCACCTCCTCTCGGCCAGAAACTCACTGCCAGGTTTTTTCACACAACATGTAGAACAAAACCTAGAGGCTTTATCAGTTTCACGCCCCCTGTCATATGTACAGCAAATGAGATCTCAGAATTCCTGGATTCAGATGAAGTCTTCTAGTTTATAATTTATTTATTTATTTATTCCCCCAAAGCCCCAGTAGATAGTTGTATGTCATAGCTGCACATCCTTCTAGCTGTTGTATGTGGGACACGGCCTCAGCATAGCTGGAGAAGTGGTGCGTCGATGCGCGCCCAGGATCCGAACCCGCTGCCAGCAGCAGAGCGCGCACTTAACCGCTAAGCCACGGGGCCGGCCCAGTCTTCTAGTTTAATAAAAATGTGTGTGGGTAGGGTTTGACCAGTGAGTGAGTTCCCCCTGCTACTGATGAGATCTAATAATCAGAAGCAAAAGGAAAGACTGAGAACCGCACTGGGCTCTGCTCTGCATCAGTAATGCCCTCCGCTTGCCTGAACTTCAACACCGACACAGGGAAGAGAACCGCCCTCCTGAGTGAAGGCGCCCAGCCTTTCTCTGGTAGATCAGCAAGAGACAAGCAGCACTAGAAGAGGAAGAGGACCCCACCCTCCTCATCTTCCAAGTAGCCCCAGGCCTCCACCTACAAGGCAAAGGTCAGTCTCCAGCCTATGTGCAAACTGGTGGAGACTTTTTTAAGGCAAATGATACTGAAACCGGCAAACAGCCATTGATGATTAAGTAGCTAGGAACTAGTTTTTTTCCTTTTTGCAATTACTGATTGTAGCTTTTAGTTGTTCCCCTGCCCATTGTTAACTGTGCTGTTTAGGCAATATGCTATCTGACTCCCACTAGGTTCCTATAGATAACATCTCCTTGAAGCCTGGGTCACCACAGTAATGGATGTTTTAGCTATTTTTCAAGAATTAGAACCCCTTGTCCACTTCAGGCCAGCTGAGACCACCAACTCATCAACTGGGCCCACGCAGATGTCTGACAAGCGACCTATTGACGTCAAGAGGCTAAAAACTCCACCCTCGGGTCATGCCAACGCCGGCATTTTGTGAACATGCGTCCTATGAAGAGGCATGAAGTCTGACCACGCTTGCGCAGATCAGCAATTACCTCAACTCTCCTCACCTCCAATCATCTATCTTTACACTTCAGACCACCTTGCCCCCCATCCCATAAATATCCCTGAGTCCCTGTTTTTGGGGAAGCGGATTTGAGATTCATTCTCCCGTTTCCACACTTGGCTGCCTTGTGATTAAACCCTCTCTCTCTGCAATCTCGTCGTCTCAGTGTTTGGCTTTCTGGGCAGTGGGCAGAAACGGACCCGGTTTGGTAACAGTACAAAACAGTAACTGAAGTATAAACACGTGCAAATATTCATACGTCAGCCTCATGCTATCAGAAGAGGAAGGTGCCACTTACGGGGTTGATTTGTAGGAAGACTCTGGGTACAGGCGCTTGTCGTTGACTTTCCCATTGGAGGAGTAGGCCGTGGGGCTGTCTACTTGCTCCATGTAGTCAGAAGGGGGAGGAGGCATGTCCTGCGAGCCTGCAGAAACGTTCTTAACCTAAAGAAACAGCCCCAAGAGACACGGTTAGCATTTAGCCTCTAATTTAAAGGGAGACAAAATAGAAGAAACATACCATATGAAAATTATCTAATATTTATTGGGCTCATTAACTATTATTAACCTGTAATGACTGTCCTGTTACTATCAGTGTGAACAGTCAATCAATACTTTTACAAACACAAAACCAATGCTACTGTCAGTTTAACAAATCCAGACTGAGTTACAAGGAAGAAAAAAATCCCCATTACCTGGTTCTCACCCTGATGTGACTGGGTGGAGTAATGAACCATGGTAACTGCTCCACTCCCATTAGGAAGACTCATCTCGCTTTATCTGGGCTGGGTCTGCGTCAGGGCGAGAACTTGGGTTTCTAACAAGTTCTAAGGCAATGCTCACACTGCTGCCTGGGCACCACACTTGGAAAACCACTAATCGAGGACAAAGGACACTGGATCTTCTTATTCCATTCACCCTACATATGGACTGCTAAAACCACAGAAGAAATTACGAAACTCAGACTGATTTCTGCTGTAGTTCTTTAATGAGAGATGTGTTTTTCTAATGGCTCTACTGTCAACAGCCGACACAACAGTCACAACATCGTTGAGGTCTCTACTTTCCTTCTCATTCCATCCTGATGCAGAAGTGAATCTGTCCTAGGAAATAACAGGCCTTAGAAATTATGCCTTGCTAACACGAAAGGTTTCCCATAGCACCTTTGGGAGGAAAAGTGTAAACAGAAGCAGCAGCCAGATTCCCCACGCTCTGTTTTATTTCACGTAGTAGACCCAACACTCTTAAAATTTCTCCTAAAATTCTCTACATTATTACATATCACTCCGCAATTGATAAAAAATAACTGCTAAAGTTAGATACAACATGGAGTTGTTTCAAAGTAAAGGAATAGAAATAAGGTGTGGGAGGGCCGGCTCTGTGGCTTAGCGGTTAAGTGCGCGCGCTCTGATGCTGGCGGCCCAGGTTCGGATCCCGGGCACGCCCCAAGGCACCACTTCTCCGTCCAACCTGAGGCCAAGTCCCACGTACAGCAACTAGAAGGATGTGAACCTATGACATACAACTATCTACTGGGGCTTTGGGGGGAAAAAAATGAATAAATAAAATCTTTAAAAAAAAAAAAGAAATAAGGTGTGGGAAAAAATTCACAATAACTCCACAAATTATTTCTGTGAAAAAGAGCGACTTTTCAACAATATGGAGGGTGGGCCTGCTTCTGATCACCTGGGCTCTCTCCAGCTCGGCCAACAACCAGTTCCAGAACGCCCCAGTCTCTCATCTTCAAGAAGTGGGGAAAGTACCAACTTCATCAACTTGTTCTGACAGCTAAGTGGGATGACCAGGGTCACGTTTAGCTGAGTGCCTTTGTGAACACAGGAGACTCAGGAGATGCTGGATTCTGGAATTAAAGCCATTGGATCTAAACAAAGAATTTTTACAAGTATTGAAGGTGACACAGACTTCTAATTGGGTTACTCTGCTATTATAAATCCTTGCAGTTAGGTGCAGCATCGACACTGCGTTTCCCTGCAACACACACACTTTGCATCTTGTTTTCCGTTAAGCATTAAACATGCCTGCTCCCTTCCTACCACCACAGTACCACATTCCAGAAGGTATTTACGTACCCGCCCTCGAAGTACATAGAGGCCTTCTTGATTGTTTCGTATTCCCCTGAGTCAGAAAGGGATGGAATCGCTTCCTGCTGAAAGTGGAATTTGGCAGCAACTGGGAAAAGCAGGGAGAAGCTGAGGTTCCCCATGGGGGGCGGGTGGGGCCATCCTGCACTCCCACTGAATTCCTCAGGACTCACACCATCGCCAAGCTTCACAGGCAAATGCCAAGCAAAGCCCTATTCTTTCTTTTTTTTTTATTGTGAAATTTTTGTTGTACATTATTGTTTGTCAATCACCATATAAATGCATTCCTCGACCCCTTGTGCCCACCCCCCACCCCACTAGCCCTGGTAACCACCAAACAGTTCTATCTGTCCGTGTGTTGGTTTATCTTCCACATATGAGTGAAATCATGCACTGCTTGTCTTTCTCTTTCTGGCTTATTTCGCTTAACCTAATACCTCCAGGTCCATCCACATTGTTGCAAATGGGACAATTCTGTCTTTTTTTATGGCTGAGTAGTATTCCGTGGTATATATATCCCACATCTTCTTTATCCAATCATCAGTCGAGGGACACTTGGGTTGCTTCTATGTCTTGGCTATAGTGCATAATGCTGCAATGAACATAGGGGTGCATAAGCCTCTTTGGATTGTTGATTTCAGGTTCCTTGGGTAGATACCCAGTAGTGGGACACCTGGATCATAAGGTATTTCTGTTTTTAATTTTTTGAGGAATTTCCATACTGTTTTCCACAGAGACTGTGCCAACTTGCATTCCTACCAGCAGTGGATTAGGGTTCCCATTTCTCCACAGCCTCTCCAACATTTGTTGTTTTTTGTTTTGGTGATTATAGCCATTCTATCAGGTGTAAGATGATATCTTAGTGTGGTTTTGATTTGCATTTCCCTGATGATTAGTGATGTTGAACATCTTTTCATGTGCCTATTTGCCATCTGTATATCTTCTTTGGAGAAGTGTCTGTTCATTTCTTCTGCCCATTTTTTGATCCAGTTTTTTGTTTTTTTGTTGTTCAGTTGTGTGAGTTCTCTATATATTATGGAGATTAATCCCTTGTCAGATATATGGTTCGTAAATATTTTTTCCCAGCTGGTGGGTTGCCTGTTCATTTTGATCCTGGTTTCATCTGCCTTGTACTGATGACTCCCACTTCTTTATTTTTTCTTTTGTTTCCCTTGTCTGAGTAGACATGGAATTTGAGAAGATCCCTTTATGGCCAATGACAAATAGTGTACTGCCTATATTTTCCTCCAGGAGTTTTATAGTTTCAGGTCTCACCTTCAGGTCTTTGATCCATTTTGAGTTAATTTTTGTGAATGGTGAAAGCAGGTGGTCTACTTTCGTTCTTTTGCACATGGCTGTCCAGTTTTCCCAGCACCATTTATTGAAGAGACTTTCCTTTCTCCATTGTATATTCTTAGCTCCTATGTCAAAGATTAGCTGCCCATAGATGTAAGGTTTTATTTCTGGACTTTCAATTCTGTTCCATTGATCTGTGTGTCCGTTTTCGTACCAGTACCATGCTGTTTTAATTACTATCACTTGGTAGTACGTCTTGAAGTCAGGGATTGTGATGCCTCCAGCTTTGTTCTTTTTCTCAGGATTGCTTTAGCTATTCGGGGTCTTCTGTTGCCCCCATATGAATTTTAGGATTCTTTGTTCTATTTCCGTGAAGAATGTCCTTGGGATTCTGATTGGGATTGCACTGACTCTGTAGATTGCTTTAGGTAGTATGGACATTCTAACTATGTTTATTCTTCAATCCAAGTGCATGGAATATTTCTCCATTTCTTTATGTCATCACTGATTTCACTCAATAATGTCTTAAAGTTTTCCTTGTATAGGTCTTTCACTTCCTCGGTTAAATGTATTCCTAGATATTTTATTCTTTTTGTTGCAATTGTAAATGGGATTGTCTTCTTGAGTTCTCTGTTAGTTCGTTGTTGGTATACAGAAATGCAACTGATTTCTGTAAGTTGATTTTGTACCCTGCAATTTTGCTGTAGTTGTTGATTATTTCTAATAGTTTTCCAATGGATTCTTTAGGGTTTTCTATATATCAGATCATGTCTGCAAACAGCGAGAGTTTCACTTCTTCACTGCCTATTTGGATTCTTTTTATTCCTTTTTCTTGCCTAATTGCTCTAGCCAGAACCTCCAGTACTGTTGAATAAGAGTGGTGAGAGGGGGCACCCTTGTCTTGTTCCTGTTCTCAGAGGGATGGCTTTCAGTTTTTCCCTGTTGCATATGATGTTGGCTGTGGATTTGTCATATATGGCCTTTATTATGTTGAGGTACCTTCCTTCTATACCCATTTTGTTGAGAGTTTTTATCAGAAATGGATGTTGGACCTTGTCAAATGCCTTCTCTGCGTTCAAAGCCCTATTCTTATTCAGGAGACTGCATCTGAGTTTAAAAAGACTTTCTTTTCTTAAAACCCCACTTACCACTTCTCCAGACTTGTTCCCCTTGATACCTTTAGCAGACGTTCGTTCCTACTGACTCTGGCAAACTGGGAACCGAAACACTAAATAGGTGCCTGGGCGTCCTTGTGGAGACTCCTTACTGCTGGAATGGAATGTCCTGCTCTCTTTCGTTGCCAGCTAATCCTTAATCAGGCTTTGAGTCTTGGCTCAGTACCAACACGTGGTAGTGCCACCAGCTGCTGGAGGCCCCTCCTGCCCGCCTACGTCCCCAGCACCTGTGCACAGAGACCTCCCAGTGGAGCAGCACGCACGGCAATTGGCTGCTCCCACGCCTCCTGTCTGTGGGCAGTGGACTGTCTGCCTGCCATCAGTGTGCCAAACACTGACCTGACAGACCACCCAGCAGGCAGAACCGCACAGGTCAATACTGTGATGCCCTTTTCAGAAATGAGGAAGCTACGGCTCAAGGGAGCTGGACAATTTTGCCCAGGACCTACGCCTGTGAGTGCTAATGCAGGATATAAGCATAGGGCTCACGGGAAAGCCTCCGCCTGGGCGGTCTCCCCACTTCCTCTTCGGGTCCCCAAAGCCCAGCACCGTACCTGGCACAAACCAGGAGCCCAGGGCGTGCTGCATCAAGGTGACCTCATTTATCACTGTTCCACTTGTGCACTGTGTCAGGTGTATAGATATATAACACCTTACCAAAGGAGCGGATCTGACCTTCAGCTCTCAGGGTTGGCAGAACTGGACTGGGCTGACCACTCACTTCTCCCCCCAGCACGGGTCTCTTATGACTTAAAGGTTTTTTATGCATATGCAACTTCCAAGGCAGTGCTTGCTTTGGCAGAACATGGACTAAACTTGGAACAATACAGAGAAGATTAATCATTAGCATGGCTCCTGGGCAAGGATGACA